ATGTCATGCAATGGATTATACATTTTACTATAAATGTTTTGTTTATTTTAAGAAATTTACTTTATAAAGTAGATATTTTATTTTATATTCTAAGCGGAGCAAGGGAAATATGTATTGGTTTCATAATTGTGTGTGTGTTTGTGAGTGGGCACACTATAAATTGTTTCCCACTACGAAGATCAAATGCCTTGATTAAAGATTCCCTCAAAAATAAACCTCAACCACCAACTACCCATCAATAATTTTAATGATGATGTGGTCAAAATACTATTGAAGTCTAAAAATCACCCAATTAAAACATCTTTCAAAGTATGTAGACTTATTATTTTAAGCTATCTTGATATGATAGCTTCTATACCACGAACCTATTCACTCCGTACTATGGTACGCTAGTTATATTGGCTTGTAAAACCTTAAAGGCGATATTTTATCCACAAATTAGATCCACCTATCAAATTAAGTGATGCTATTTATAGTGTTGCTATTTGCAGTGTCTTACAAATTACTGTAACACAATTACTATTTCAGTAACGCAGCAGTAATTTCATTAAATTGTACTTTAAGTAAAGCAATTATAACAAAATTAGTTTTGAAAAGAAATTTCTATGAAGTAACGCATAACGCCTTATTTTCCACGTTATTGAAATAATAGTTTTGAATGTATTTCAGGTATAGAATATCCCAGAAGAAATTTTTTTTTTTTTTACATTTATTTAGAAAATATACAATCTGTAAGGTTATTTACAATAGGCATATATGCGGTGTTTATGTGATTTTAACTTGAGTTTACATGATTTTAAGGAACTACCCAACAGTAGTACTTATGGCTTGAGGGATTTTGTGTGGGTAACGAGGTAATCAATTATATTTATTTTTGATTCCGATAATAGTTAACAATATTACTAAACATTCCAGGAAAAAATGTTATCATTTTATTTGTAGAAAGAAAAGAGTTCGGTTTAAAAATAAAGTTTAATAAAAATTAATTATGATTTATGACTTATGACTATATAGCCATATAGGTGAGGTGATTGTACCATTTGTACATAATACTTAAATAGGTCTGTGATTGTAAAATATATACATAATAATTATTGAATCATATGAATTGAATATGGTTAAAAAAAAATGATAAAAAAAGTAACGTTATTTGTAATGCACTACTTTATTAATGGAAAATAGTAATGTAACGTGATAAAAATAATTTTAGGTAACGCAAAAGTAATTAAAATTAAAATATTTGAAGTAACGAGTAACGTAATTTCATTACTTTTAATTTACCCAACACTGGCTATTTATCCATTACCAAGTCTGGGCATAAACAAGATGAAAAGTTAAAGTTAATTCAAAAGTTAAGTTAATTTTAACTTTTTAACTTAATTTTTAACTTAACTGATTTTTATTGATATTAACTTCAAATCCAAGATACCTTAATTTATAAATAATTAAATTATAATAAAATTATTATTAATTAAACATATTGCATAAACATTTACTTTTTATTATTTTAAACCATATTACATACTATACATAACATATGTATATAATTGAGTTAAAAAAAATAAGGATAGCTATTAACTTTAAACATTTTAAAAATAAATGTTTTCTATCAACTTAACTCAATTCAAAATGATCATTAACTTTCCCAGGCTTGCCTGTTACCATTGCTCAAAATCAATTTTTGTACGCAATGATTTGTCATTGAATTAAAATTTAACGCATTTTTACATTGACCTATACTCGATGGTGAGTTACATTCAAAACCTACTATAGAATAGAGACTAGAGAGTTTCCAGTTTTTTTATTTTTATTATCACTGTAAAGTGCAGTCGATAATCTTGGGAAACACAATCGTAATCGTTTTTATAAATATATATTTTTCATTTAGAGACTTGAAAGCATTTATGAAACATTTAGAACTATATTATGGACATTCAACATAACATAAATGGCGTAGGTACCTACACCACTCTCACATGATCGTTATAGTTTAAACTTACAGCTAGATGTACAAAAGTTTTGGACCTTTGCTTATGGTGAACAAAGAACTCAATTTTATCTCTACTGTACGACAAAATAAACATTTGTTTTTTTCAGAAAATAAAATAATATTATTTTATATTATATTATATAACATTGTTAGCACTATTTAAATTTTATTGATATTGTGTGTATTTGACACGATTATATTAAAAGCTATGTTTTATTTTCTAAAAAAACTGAAAAATAAAAATTGGAAAAAAAAACATTAGGTAAGTACCTACATTATTTGTATGTTAGTGCAGACGAAATGAGTGGAGTTAAGTTGAATTAATGAATTTTGTTTGTTTAATCAACAAATAAAATGGGTTTATTCACTGTTCAGTTAAACAAATACAACCAACTGAACTTGAACTAATTAACTTGCTGTCTTTTAAATATCTATAATATGCTATTCATGCTAAATGTTTAATGTTATATTTTTTAAAACAAAACTTGAATAAATTATTGTTTTTTCATTTTTTAATTTTCACTTATTAGTTCATAGAAATGTTTTGAGAACACTTTTTGCTGTAATGTTTTAAATTTTATCAGCAATTGTCAAAAATATGTTTACATATTGGTTGTACAGTTATCTAATAAACTTATGAAAAACAACTTTATTAGTAATTAATAATTGAAGACCTGTTATTTGTTATACCTTTGTTGACGATAATTATAATACCCTTTAAATTAGGTTACCCTCAATATATTATGCTAATTATTGATTAACTATGCTATATTAATTTTATATTTTTCACATAATATATAATAATTACACTAAAATAAACTATCTTGAAAAAAAAATGATTCCATCTATTTGAAAAATAAAATTGCTGAACCGCTTTCATCGTATAATAGAACATATTCTTAAATCTTTGACGTTGTAAGGATTTTATTTAAATCTATTTTGCTTTATATTTTCTTTTAAAATAAAATAAAAATACGATATAAAAATAAATGTAAAATAGAGCCAATCACGGCTAACATAAATGATCAATAATTTTGTTAAAAACTAGAGGTTTTTCGAGATTGTGTTTTGAATTATTAGAACATTAATTGAGAATTGAAATTTTTTTCCGAGTTCAATTCCAAATTTATATAAAAAAAAAGCTATTTGAAACTTTTAAATATTTTTAGTATGGTTTTGAAGTTTTTTTTTTTATTTCATTGGTGGAACTATATATTTAAGTACTAAAAAGTTTAAAAAAATCAGAAGATAACATTCTGAAATGTTATTATTAATAACTACGTTTATTTGCACTTGTTTGATAATTTTTTTTCAAGACAATTTATTGTCTTGTATTGAAAAAGCGACTTGCTAGCAATCAGGGTAACATTTTTTTACGAATAAAAAATATGAAAAGGTATAAATCGAATATATATAAATTATAGTGAGTTGAGTATTCATATTATGTCCCAAAATACTTTCTTTATTCTTTAAATTATCGTAAAAAATACGTGTTGAAACGAAATGAATAATAATAAAAATAAATACTGTAGAATACCTATAGGGTTCTTAATATGTAACATTATAAAATCTTATAAGTCTATAAATATTTAGAGTTGGTGAGTGTATATCTTAAAGAAATTAATTTTTGTAAATGGATTTCTTGGCAAGTCAGGACTGTTGGATATCTACGAGAATCATAAATCGATAGTGCGAAATCATATGAAATACATATTATAGTAACTACTTAATCAAGAGTTTATTCTATTCTTAGATGGCTTGATGTGCAGAGATTTTGATCTCTTCATAATTATAAAATAAGTGATCTTTCGAATATCGATTAATATTTGTCTGGCCTTACATATTTTTAAAGTATATTTAATTAATAACGTAGTTAGATTAGGTACTAGATATTTCATGATATTATTTTTCACAATTTACATAATTAATAGTACGTTCTTATACATATTTGTATTGTCCAAGTAATCCACTCTATGATTAAAAAACACTGACTAAATAAATCTGGCTAGCGCTGGTTCCAACTACCATTTAATCTCTGACTTTGTAGTTTGTACTAGGTATAAGGTATTAAGGTCTATGTATTTAATTAAAAATAATATTATATGATAGTGAACAATCTTATTTATATCATAATTTTATCGCTTATAGAAAATTCTAATGTAAACATTCAGTGAAAATTTCATGTATTTGCGGTAATTTGTCATATGGTAACCCCCCATAACCAAAATCGGTTTGGAAAACCAATTTTGAGTAAAAATGAAGGTCTTTCCTTAATTTTTATTTTGTTTTTCCCTGCACTTTTGAAAGCTTCCCTGACACTTTTTAATTAAAAACCGTGTAAGTACAACAATAAATAATAATATTCATGTATAAAACCATTAAAACCAAAAATTTCAAAAACATTTTTATTTAGACTCGATGGATTATTTGTATATATCCATTCTGCAAAAAGCTAAGTTATTTCAACAGTCAAATAAACTAGGTAGTCAAGTTTCTTGGTTAATTAAAAAATTAATATTTAAGTTAAAAAGTTAAGGCAATTAGTAAACTTTTTAGATTACATAACTTAAACTTTTCAATTAGTTGATGCCCATCTTTGCCTATTACATATTGTCATTATGAATACCTACTTTAAAAGTCTTTGTCATCGGTCAACCGTTTTGGTACGCGTTCTCCGAATACAAGGTAACCATCACCACGTTATTACTAGCACTAAGTTGTGTTTTTCGTTCGATGTCCTCCGATATTTAGGGTAACCTTTTTACGATACACATCATAATTATCACCAGATCTCTTCAGGGTCCTGCAATGCACGACGGTGTTGGTCTTCGATGTAGGCGCTTTATTATACGCATGGCCTACTTAAACTCGAGTCTGTTTTTCTTTTTAATTTTATAATTTTCAGATATTATCATTTACGTGGTCTTATCATATTATCACATGATTATATGATGTAAGCAAATCGCCTCAGGACTTCCATAGACCGAATGATATTATATACATGTCTAGAATGTTGAACCCCTGGGCCGGTGAATACGGTCAACTTTGGAATCTTTCCTCCAAGCGTCGTTGCACAGGTGTTGAAGGCAGACTCGGCATTGAGCGTATGACTAGCATCCGACCATCGGCGTCTTCACTCATAGCCAAATCTAGGCTCACCACGGCCGCGTTCTCCGCCCTTTTCAAGGTCACGTCAGCCGACGAGTGGACGACTCTTCCGCCCTCGTCGCAACGAGCAGGCTGTCTCGGCCATCGTCAACGATGGCCCTGCCGCCCATCAATTTCCGTTTGAAATTTGGGCACAGCTTTTGTAAACAGTATTTCCTGTGCCCGACGAAACGCAAGCGCCGACTTTGTTCATCAATTCTATGGTTTGCAAATCCATTTCAGATTACCGGAACAATGTTTTATACTAGTCAAGGTATTATTAAGAATGACTGGAATAAGAAAACTTTTCAAAATGTATTATAATATTATTGGGCTTATATTGTATAATAATAACTTAAAAAATGTTACCGTGTTAAGTATTAAATCTGTGGCTGAAAAATAAATAAAATACATCCTACGCGTTTTTGGTCGTTACTATAAATATGTGAGTAGGTACCTGTATAAGAATATTCTCGGAGAATAAATTACTCGGCAAAACCTGAGTGCACAAATTTGAAATTCGAACACCGATTAAAATTCACCGGGGAGATATTTGAAATTTCTCGCAAAATCCACGGATACACCTTTTTGACAGATCGCGCATCGGCGGCGGCATCTCTCGGCCGTCGCGTCCGTCGACCACGTGACACGCACGCGCTGTCCGAACTTTCGCATCATCCATGCCACCGAGAAGTTCACACGTGGACGCGGCGCACCGACCAGTCGTGCCGCCGCGTCCAAAGCCGTCGCAACTTTGCTTCCGCATCGGTCAGCCTCGCGCGAAATCGTCGTCATCGCCACCGCCGGCGCCGCTGTTGTATTTTTTTCTCCCCGCCAGAAAACCAAAATTTTCCTTCGACACTGGTACGTACGGTTATATACTATAATATGCTATAAGCGTATATTACATTGTTATACTGTTATAAAATTAAATATGTAATATTAATAATATTATGTATAAAAATAAATGGCATAATATTAATATACCATATTATATTATTCAAAATACAATTCATTTTCTTTGGCGATTGGTTTTTTTACAGTGTATACACTTTCACTTTTTTTTTTAGATTTCATTATACACAGGTGCTTAGTGCTTACAAATTTTTTGTTTTAAGAATGTAACACATTCATATAGTGCCTTGTACGTGTTTGGGTGGTTGAATTTGATTGCAAATCGGTCGCTCTTTATCGTGTTTTACTTACACTGTTATAGGTTTACCACAAGTTTCCACATTTGTGTTTCTTCTATTTGGTACATTTATTTTTTCACACATGATTTTTACTATTTTTTAAATTTTTTTTTGGTTGTCTTTTATACTCTCGATAGTAAAATAATACGGTATGAGTCTGTATTTATACCAATCATTGTAATTATACGTCATACGATATCCTTGGCTAATATATTCACGGCCATGGCAGTATTTAAAAACTGTTAGAATATCGAATATCGACATAAATAGTTATACATTTTAATAACATCATTAATTTTGGTACTAAATCATATTCTACAGTATTTTTTTCGATGACGGTGTTTCACTATATTGTTTTATCAACCATTTCCATTTTATACTTAGACCTGCAGGACCAGTATGTTTCGAGCACTTTTATATTAATAAGATATTAGAGAGAAGAAAATCTATGATATAGTAATTTTTATTTTTGTTGTTTGTTGAAATTAAAATTTTTATTTATTGACTACAAAAAAGTATATTATATAATATATTTCCTACATTTCAAGTTTTTTTTTTTATTATTAGGAATAAGCCTCAGCAGCGATGGCCACTGGCTGACATTTGATAATTGACAATGATTTACACAAGATTAGTTATTACAATGATTTTATTTTTACATGGCATATTATGATTAATTTTTTACAATAAATGTTCGATTTGTATTTCTTTGGCATTGCAAATTGTGCCAATATTAGTATAATATATAACTTATATGTTATCCGTGATATCTTCTATTCTCCTTTACTCTTATTACGTCAACTAATATGTTATCATCAGCAATAATTACAAATAGAACATATATTAGATTAGATTATAACTGTAAACTGTTAATATTATTTTTTGAGAAAATTTGCAAATTTGGTAGTTAGGTTTTTGATTAATTTTCTTCTTTTAATATTTAATTTGCATACGATTTTATTATTAAAGCATAGAAACTAGAGTTTTAAAATGTATTTGTTTTATTAAATTTTGCTATAACATTTTCCTGTATAGTTTGGAATGGAGCAAGTACCTGAAATCACATGAACTGTGTTAAAAAATAAAATATATAAATTAATGAAGTTAGGGTCTGTTCGACTGTTCCTCTGAATTTAGGTATTTTGTTCCTTAGAAATTAAAGTTAAATTCTACAAAGTATAAGTAATTAAACATATAAATAATAAATATATTATATATATATATATTATATATTATATTAGTAAATTAGTATATTAGTATTATATATTTATATACATGTTTAGAATATTTAAACGGTCTATTAATATACGACTATACGAGTTCCTAATACAATTGTTACAAGTACGATTATATAAATACGGGTATCTTACGGGTTTCATATTATGAAGGGTGGTAGAAGGATTTATTTTTTTTTGGCCATTGTGGTGAGGATTCTAAACCACTGCCTTTTTAAGAAACAACAATAAATTGTAATTATTTTATTTTGAGTTAAGGTACATTAAAAAATATTCATCACCATAGGAAATATAGTTTACGAATATTGTTAGAGTTTTTAAAAATATTAATTAGAAAATGAGTTAATGATGGCGACAAAAAAGGTGAGACGCAATTAGGTAGGTAGTTTATCTAATTAAATAGTTAAATTTTCACTAACTAGTTGTGTATTTTATCTAACCTTTTTTGATTCATTATGTTTCTATCATGTGTTTATAATAAAATGTTTTTTTTATGGCATCCGCTTAGTGATGTTAACTATCGTCAAATATCATAATATTGACCCCCTATGAAATTAAAAATAATTTAGTCTCATCCAACTTACAACTGTTATAAAACGCCACTGTAAATATCATATGACATACATTATATGAATAATAAAGTGGTATACGTATGAAAGTTGTTGGTGTACTATAGTAAGCATTTTTGAATTTATAATATTTATTATATTGAAGTTTGACGGTGAATATGTTATGAATTTTCGTGTTAATTATAACAAATAAAAATATTCAAGTTTAATCGTAATAAACATTGTATACCTGTGAGGAAGAAGGGACCAAGTTCATTATTGTAATTTTTCAGGAGAATAAAAAACTGTTTTTCAACTATATTTATCTAGATTTTTATTTTACTTAAATGGTTGGTGTGAATTAAATTTAATGATTATACCTACGAGGTTTGTTTTAAATTATAGGCTATAATATTCTCAATAAGATAAATATTTTTTCTTTTAATTATAGTTTACCTATAATTGTTTATTTTACGATTTAAATGAAACATTTTGGACTTAGTTCCATTTGATCAATCACACAATGACTTGGACTCTATTAATCTCCATGTTAATTTTGATTATTTAAAAAATATCATATTATAATATAACATTTACTGTTGTAAATTGTAATATTATAGGTAAAAATTAAAATATTATATTTGAATAATTTACCAATTTTAGGAACAAATTAAGGTAATAGTAAAGTTAAAATGTATTCCAGTTAAATATAAAAATCTTTTAATCCTTTAAAAGGTCTTAGCCCAATAAACAATATTTAATTAAACAGTGTTCATAAAAGCAAAAATAAGAACAAAACATGTTAAAAACAAATCTAAGAAAACATAAAGAATAAATAACTTTAAAATGCATAACCATCTTGGTTTAATATTGTAATGCCTAAAATATTACATCTTTATAATAGTAAAAATAATAATAGACTTGGATCATAATTCATAAATAATAATACATAATTCATAAATCAAAATTGATATTTGAACTTAGTTATTTCTGTTATTTCCCAATATCTTGGTAAATATGCGTCATTAGATTAAAATGAAGATAGGTAAAATGACGGGCGTCAAAATTGCACTTTAAATACACCCTTATAACTTCAATTTTGATAAAAATGGACATGGTACTTCTGCCTCTCAGGTAATACATTAATTTACAAAACAACGTAATTTATAGACTCACTATTTTTTAATACTTAAACGCTGAATAACGTATTAATAATTGTATAAGTATTATCAAAAACAAATACATTTTTACTTTTCATAAATTATTTAAGAAAATTAAGAAAATGTTGAAAGACAAAATACCTGTCTACATGTACTAGATTAATATGAATATTCACCTAATTACCACCTAGATTTCTACCAACAATAATATAATTCCATTAATAGTTTCAATAATTAATAATTGTTATCCATTTTTCAAAAAATGAACAAAGAATTTTATACGGGGCTGGAGAAATAATATCAATATAATTATAACACATAGGTATTTGCTTCATAGAATAATTTCAATGTACATGCAAATTAATAATGCCTCTCAGGTAATACATTCATTTACAAAACAACGTAATTTATAGACTCACTATTTTTTAATACTTAAACGCTGAATAACGTATTAATAATTGTATAAGTATTATCAAAAACAAATACATTTTTACTTTTCATAAATTATTTAAGAAAATTAAGAAAATGTTGAAAGACAAAATACCTGTCTACATGTACTCGATTAATATGAATATTCACCTAATTACCACCTAGATTTCTACCAACAATAATATAATTCCATTAATAGTTTCAATAATTAATAATTGTTATCCATTTTTCAAAAAATGAACAAAGAATTTTATACGGGGCTGGAGAAATAATATCAATATAATTATAACACATAGGTATTTGCTTCATAGAATAATTTCAATGTACATGCAAATTAATAATGCCTCTCAGGTAATACATTCATTTACAAAACAACGTAATTTATAGACTCACTATTTTTTAATACTTAAACGCTGAATAACGTATTAATAATTGTATAAGTATTATCAAAAACAAATACATTTTTACTTTTCATAAATTATTTAAGAAAATTAAGAAAATGTTGAAAGACAAAATACCTGTCTACATGTACTAGATTAATATGAATATTCACCTAATTACCACCTAGATTTCTACCAACAATAATATAATTCCATTAATAGTTTCAATAATTAATAATTGTTATCCATTTTTCAAAAAATGAACAAAGAATTTTATACGGGGCTGGAGAAATAATATCAATATAATTATAACACATAGGTATTTGCTTCATAGAATAATTTCAATGTACATGCAAATTAATAATAATATACAATTACATAAAAGATTATAGTATAATACTAGTATGATACTAATAATTAGTAGGTATCATACTATTATATACAATATACTATACAATTATTGTTATAATAATAACTGTAGGATCTAGTGTTTCTTTGAAAAATCAAAAACTATTAGTACAGTGGCGTAGACATAATTTCTGAAAGGGAGGGGGATCAAAAAAAAAAAAAAAAAAATGACATAGCTAAATGGAAGGGGAAAATTGGAAAATTCCCCACCCTCTCAAAACTTTTTACTAAGGTAATAAAAAGCCAATGGGGGGGGGGGGTCCTTGTCTACTCCATTGAGTATAAAAGAAGTATATTGTGTTAAAATTAAACTTCAAATGTTTAAGATAAGTTTTAATTATGGTTTTTAAGATAAAATATTAAACTTATCTTAAAATTATTGAATTATTCAGCCCAATTTATTATAACGAGATCACTTTGGTAGCTAAAGTAAAAATGGTATTATTAAGCTTGCAAGTAGTATTATTTTATTAGAGGTAAAATTTGAAAAAATAAATTTATTATTACAGTTTTATATTAAAAAAGTATATTTTTATATTTTAATATCACTTAATGTAGAATACATATAATGTCAATCATTTAATTTTTAATTTAATTTTTACAAATTTTTCAAACTCTAGAAAAATTTCTTTTGATAAAATAAAAAATATATAAGTAAATCTGGTTTAAAATTACAGTATTCAACAAACATGTTAAGAAGAGATCCCAGTATCGTTGTACCATTAATTATAAATACTATAATAATACCTATATTAAATGATAATACACTATTTATAATCAATGGTTGTACTTACCTCAGGAGTAAAATATTTTCTGAATTTTTATTTATAAGAATTGCTCAGCAGAATTGGGTAGTACTATATATGAATATAGTGACGATTAGTCGTAAATGGAGAACACTCTCAAAGTCTCAAAGGGGAAATTTGCAATATTTTATTTTTTGCTTCTCAAGATGTCCTGATTTAATTATTAAAATTAATAACGAAAAAAATTTCGGAAAAATGAACACATACCGTACTTACCTAAATTGCCTATACATAAAGCTGTGTAATTAAGTTTCATATTACTCAAATAACAAATACAATAAAAAAAAAAAATAATAATAAATAATATATAATGATCGATGAATATGTGAACCCAATAAATATTTTGTAAAAATTCCGGGACAGAAGATGGGAAAAGTCATGTCAAAACGCTTTTGTCAGTATACCCCTTCTGAGTATACAAGCTGGGTGTTGTGGTTATAAACGTTTTGTTATATAGGTAAAAAATAAAATATATTTATATAGGCACTATAATAAAAGTTACATTTTATATAATAGTACTAGCATTTCAAAATAGTATACAAACCTAGCGTCCTAGTGTTGCATCTATGAAATTATAATCAATTAGTAAATATAATAATATGTACTATGTAATACCTGTACTAGTCTAGGTATACCTACACCTTTTGGTGACAGTTGGTGTATATAATAAGTCCAATGATCAAACGAAATAATATATATTGGTCAAATCTCAAATAACTTAAAGCATATACGTGGTTGTACTATTAGGAATTTTCGATATCAGCGGTGTTGGTGTAAATAATATATTTAATATATTTCAGGTCAGGCCTAGCGAAATACAATATTTCCATCCTAAAATTACCATAAAAAGTACCGTTTTTTAGTGGATTTGACTACAACTGATATTTTATGAAAATTCTGTATCCAATTTTGTATACCATTGAATAAATCATTTAACTTATCTGTTAGAATTTTTTTTAGAATTTTTCAAACTGTTGTGGGTATTTACGAAATTTTAACCTACATATTTTAATATGTACATGCTATTTATATTATTTTAATATATACATTTAATGATACATGCATAGCGTAAAAGATAATATATTTCTATACAATTTAATAACACTTAACAATTTGACGAAACCGGATCCTCGTATTCATACTATAAGAGTACGATTTAATCAATTTTATAGAAAAATAAATTATGGAAATTTATATTTTTTTTTCTACTTGTGATATTTTAGTTGACTTATTGGATTGGGAAGAATCTGAAATGATATCCATGAGAAATTGTTGGTGTTAGTGATCATCCTTGGTCCTATATAATTGTTTCCCGTGTATCCGAGGGCATTGTACTTCAAATTCAATGGGAAACGCGGGAACGACCAGAAGAGGATCGATATTCTCCAAGCAGGACTCTACGGGTGATGATGGTTCAACACGACACAACAAGCGACTTTCAAGCAGACAAAATACTTTTCTGGAAGAAGAAGAGTTTCCGCCAGAACCACCGGTTTTGCCTCCGCCGGAACCACTGACTATGCGGCAGAAAGAGTTGCTCACCGAAATGTGGAAATTGTTAGAGGAGGACATTGCAAAAGTCGGTGTCATTACATTCGTAAGGTAAATATTACAGATTCTAAAATTTATTTTAGAAATAAAACATAGTTTAATCGTGAAAAAAATATACCTTAGAAATCTATATAAATGTTATGTATTACGTTATTATATGTTGATATTTTTGAGAATTTACCTAGTGTTTGTGATTTTGAATTTTACAAATACGATTATTCAAATAATTGGAATAATATTTTAACAGGTACTTATAAAATTAAAAACAATACTATATATTAACATGTATTTAAAAATAATACATTGGTAGGTACGACTTGTTTTTAAAATGGGTTCTTTATTATTACTTACATAAGTTATAAATACATTTTAAAATTATTGTTTGATGTTTCAAATTAACATGCAAGTAAAAATAATACTTAAATAGTCTATTATATAAATAAAATTATATTTTATTATAATATATATAAGAATCTTTATCTTAATTGCTTATAAATTTGAATGATATTATTATTATTCTATGAGTGTTTGTTAAAAATTAAATTTTAGGTAAGTACCTACATCACATTTTGAAATAATTACACATTATATGAACTAATTTTAACTAAAGAAAAATCTAATTTCTGTAAATTATAAGACCATTGAAATATAATATATAATTAAATTAATTGAACATTTAAAAATACAATTTCTGAAGTTTTTTTCTGAAACAATATAAATTTAAATATGAAAATCTTATTTTAAAGTATTATAGGTACATTACAAACATCATTTTACGTAATACATATAGGTATATAATTATAAAATAGTGTTTTATTAAAAATGTAATAATTAAAATATACCAAGTATTTTCAATCATTTGAAATTGTTTATGGAAAATTTGCTTTGAACTGTATGTATACATTTGTTTATGTTATAATGGTATAATATACTGTATAGTACTATAGTGTATACATATTATATAATCCTGTTGAAATTAGTATTATGATGTAATATACACTAAAATATTTAATTTATTTGATTATGCCTCGTTGAACTCGTAAACTTTTTTTTGTTTTTTTATTGTGATATAAACGATCTATGCATAATTTGTTCATATGATAAGCATACCTATTTGTTGTTTATTATTAAATATTTAAATGAATACTTGAAAAGAAGTGAATTGTAGTGACACTTTCATGTATGACATTTTACAATTTATTAGTTTCCGCACCGTTTTATTTTGAGTCGATGGGGAGGATTCTCAACATGTCTCTTTCATCTTACATAATATACAAGTGAATTTTGAAAATTTAAGAGCGAGTTTTGATAGCTACGAAAATACGATAATAGTGGATGGCTTTGTCTTGAAATTTAAAAAGGAAAGTAAAGCACGGTTTGTTTCATAACAAGGGGTATTCGTGATCAGACAAAGATTTTTGACTGGAATGTTTGGATTTTTAGCAAAACGCAATATTTGGATGCCGTATATATGGCTTGTTATAAAGTTTGTAAATATTTAATTTGTTTGTATGTTAGTATTATATAAGTGGTTAGCATGGTAACTTTAGATGATTTGCAGCTCGTTAACATAATATAAGATTAGGTATTGTTAGGTATCTTAACAGTTTTATACTTCTATTATAACTATCATATGAAAAGTGTTTATATTCAACTCTTAATATTCATCATTAAATAATGGAAATGTGAAACTATGTTGAAGCCCACTTCTTGCTTTATAAAGAATAACTTTGTTGGAGATATCTTAGGACTTTAGATGCCCATCAGTGGCGTATTTAAGAATTTTGTTAGGGCGGGATGAAATATATAATAATACACCCATAAATATTAAATACGTACCACCCACAATAATATACATTTTTAAAATCCCCTAACTTGTTACATATTGAGGTTAGCGTGGATCAAGGTGAAATAAGAACTAATACAAATTGTATATTACCTAATAGTATTTAATATAATTAAATTATATTTATTATAAATTTATACTAACACTAATTCCGTGTTTAATACGATAAACAAAAAAAATAGTTATAATACAAAATCCAGTTTTATATTTTTTGGATGCTCAGTTCATTGATAACCTCATCTGGCATAATAATTGTATTGACCGGTGACATGCCAATAAAGTCAACACATTAAGTCAGCTCTAATAAACAAAATATATAATAATTACCACCTAATTTATAATTATTATTCAATATTAGATAGGAAAATTGATAAATTATTTACGTCTGCCATACTATGTATTATGTAAGACTTAATCCTCTTCAAACTTGAAAAACATCGTTCAGGTGTAGCAGTTGATACAGGTAAAGTACAAAATATTTTCAAGATTTCATGAATATTTGGATAAATCTTTTTATCAAAATAACATCTAAAGCATGTAACCCAGAGGGCAGAGGTGAATACATTTTTTTCAGTCACTAACTACACATCAGTCACTAAAAATAAACGTACACCCTATGGTAAATCTACGGTCTTCGTGGTAATTTTGTTTTATTTACCGACTTTTCATCGGGTTTATTATACACTCATGCATGAATAATTATTCGCAGTAAAGAAAAAAAATACAGTATACCATACTACCATAGTGGTGTATGTTTTTGTTGTCCAATAGTCGCATATATGCCTCGAACGATGAGTATATCAGAGAGGTACAATTACCACGGCTAGAACATTTAGAAAACAGACATACTTAAAAGTAATATCACATTGAGAAATACGGAAAATTAGAAAACTTAAGCTTAACTTCACAAAAAAAAGGTCAAGTGGGTATATAACCCCCCCCCCGTAAATACGCCACTGGTGCCTATACAGAGTGTATCACGAGGCATGAAAGCATGTTCTGATATATTCAAATATCAGATGTAATTTCAAAGTAAAATTGTTAAATCATTTGAATGCATCCCATATTCCCAGGTTTATTTATTTAATTTATTTATGAATTAGGTACCCAATTATTAAGATAATATATTTACTGGAATTATTGGAATTAATTTACATGTAGTTATATTTTTATATTTTATGTATCGTTCAAGTAGATTATGTAATTTAATCAGACGCTGAAACTAAATTTAATCCTAATATCTATTCTTGTTGATTGGAATTATAATTTTCTTAATAAACCATATTAATAATATACAGAATGGTCAAAATACACAATGTTGGGGATTATTTAATTTGTCTACTATATTATATTCACTAGCTATGTTGGTTTAAATCAATAGTTTATGATCATCATGTATTATCCTTTATCCTGTTAGAAGTTGAAAATGGTGAGGGATTAAATAAATAAAAGTTCTGAATCATAACAATTCAAAATATTAATTTACTGTTATGTAATCAATCAGCAAATATGTAGGTTTGGAATGAGGATTACATAAAATTACACGATTCACTCAACACAAATTACCTAGCTGTCAAAATAATTAATTTGAATTCAAACATGCTATATTAATTGCATCATATTATTTATTTCTTGAAATATTGTAATATGTTCTTCGTTGAATTCAGCGTTATTTAAGTATTACTTAAAACTAGTGAACCGTTAAAAATAACGAAATATTTAAATGTTATGAAATATTATATATATATAAGTATGTCACACAAAAGTAGATAATATTTATAAATATTACTGGATTTTAAGACCCTTTAGTAATATATAATTTGTAATGTATGCATAACTTACAATATTAAATTTCACAGATATTGAAATAGCATTTTCTGTACTCTGTATCAAGTACGGACTAAATAATAATGTTCTTAATATACCATAAGAAATACGAATTAGTGAACTGGACAGTTGCCAGTAGGCTTAGAAGATCGAAGGTCTTTGTAAACAGTGCAGGTATATTATTATTTTCTAAATAATAAAATATTGCTGAAAATCAAAAACAACAATAAGAATAATAGTACCAATGTGATGAGATACCTAAGCAAATTAGAGGTACTCTTTCAACGCATACAATTTATGTTCAAAGAAATAACCTACGAAACTACCAAAATTAAGGATAGGGCCAACTGGTATTAATAATAAATTATAATATTTGCATTTGACATTTTAGGTATTATGTACGGAAACTTAAGATTATTTTTCAAAGAACATTTTAAGTGCAAAATTTGCAATGCAAATAACTAGGGTAGAGAATAAATCGTGAAAAAACACAAATAAGACAAAAATAATAATTTATGCTCACAATCTCTGCTTGTATTTATTAAAAAAACAATCAATAATTAATAAATAAGTTATCATACCGAGGAAGCATAACAAAATCAGACGGAAAAATGTATTAAAAAATTAAACAAACATAATTAAATAAAAACCATCAATAATTATTATGAATTGTTTATACACGGTTCTGCCAAACTTAACTAGTATAATTCTTGTTGGGAGCACGTCGAAAAAATAAATTGCACAGAAAGTTGGTTTGATATTTCAATATTTTTGTCAAGGAGTTAAGAAACACAACTCATTAAATAAAAGATATAATGATGTTGAAAAATTATAGAAAGTGTATGACATCAAGATATAAATAATTACATTATCTCATAATTGTAGCAGAATGTGTGATTGAGGGACGTAAATACTAAAATATAAGTACCTAACTAATAACAATAGGAACCTTCATTATGAAAATGTTACAGTATGCAATTCAACACTTATAGACTATGGTTTAAAGGTTAGGTTAATCAGGGCGCATACACACATTTTGTATGGGATTAAAAAATATTTAAACTTAGGTACCTGTTAAAAGAATAAATAACAAAATATAGGTAATATATAATTAGGTACTATAGCGTTTCTATAAATATTAAAATTTGATTTTAAATTATTTTAAATACAAGCTTAGTATTTTTAGTCATACTATATTCATTATATATTAGAGCATTACATGGAAAAAATAAAGTTTATATATATTATATATCATTACATTATATTACATTACTATATATATTATAACAATTTACAATATATTATATTGGTCTACTGAACTTTTTTTTGGCCTACATACCTATAGTGGTTAGCATACCTTTCAAAAAGTTGAAATGGCGCTC